CAGCCTTGAGTGACCTGTTTCCAAGTTAAAAGAGGGCAAGTTGACTCCAGAGTATAGAGTGCCATGAGTTAGGAAATGAATATATAACAAAATTATTTTCTTTAAGACAAAATCATCAGATTTAAACTCTAAATTTTAAGCAAGTGAGCAAAAAAAGAAATTTGGATGGAAACTTTGAAGCCCTTCCATCACAAGGACTGCTAAAAGTTTCATCCATGAGCCCAGCCTGGCTTAAAGTGGTGGTTGTGAAGCATCACCTGGGAGTCCCTGGAGTCCCAAGATCCATCTGCTCATGGGGTCCAAGAGGTCCAAGTATTTTTGCTATAAAGCTCAATGTTACTTGCCATTTCCATTCTCATTCTCTTTACAAGCATACAGTGTAATGTTCCAGAGATATGGTATGTGATAACATCAGAGCTCTAATGGCTAATGTGATGTATGATCATGTACATTTGTATTTAAAATGTTTCAGTTTTAACTTCTAATGTCATGACTATCAATAGATACAACCCATTTAACTAAAAGTTCCTAGGAATTCTCAGTAATTTTTAATAATACAGAGGAATCCTAAGACCAAAACATTTCAGAATTACTGTTTTAAAAGTCTACCAATATTTATCAGGGTATAATTACTTTTCGCATTTTTAATAATCAAAGACCTCTCTCCCTCTCTCTCTCTCTCTGTCACAAATGGCCAACATTGGAAGTTGAATAAATTGAGCACCCGGACTGTGTTCATTTCAGTACCTCAAGATGGGCTGATATGAGTCCAAAGAAACAAAAACTTCCTTTGGCTGTGTCACCTTCTGTGTTTTCCTTCACTGTGTCCTCTATATGAAGGGTCATCAAGCTGTGGCCCACAGGCCAAATCCAGTCTGCCATCTGGCTTCGAAACAGTCGTCTGGGAGCAGTCATGCTTATTACTCACTTATGTCTTGTCTACGACTGCTTTCAAACTATTATGGCCCCACTTAGCAGATGTGACAGCACCTGGCCTCTCTCATTCAGGTTTGACTTAATGAGGTATGAAGCTGGTAACAGGCCATGTTAGTGTAACAGTATGTAAAATAAGCTGTGTTTCTCAACGAGGCATGGCTTTTCTGACTCCCTTACTTCTAGTAGGCATCTTTAAGAGCCTGTCTCAGCAGTACTGCTGCACACCAGTGAAGTTCTGAGTGTCTGCCATTTATGTATGGTTCTTCCAGGAAGGTATTGCTGTGTTCCCAGTTTCAAAGACAGTTATTTTTATTAGTGAGATAAATCAGTATGTAATAAGAAACATTCATGTACTAAATGTAATTCATTTGCTGTAAAATATTCTATTTTTATTTATCATTTTTTACCTTATTTTCTACTTTATTATGACAAGTTCAATTTGTTATAATGTGATTATAGAGGAAAGATACAACATTTAACTTAAAAATCTTTTATGTACACAGACATATACAATTTTAGGGGTCATGACTAAATGAATTCCTTTTCAGACAATTGAAATAAACANAGTAAGGATCGCCACTATCCAAAAGACAAACAACAAACGTTGGCAAGGTTGTGGAGAAAGGTGAACCCACCTACACTGCTGGGGGAATGTAAATTAGTACAACCATTGTGGAAAGCAGTATGGGGTTCCTCAAAAAGCTCAAAATAGACATACCACTTGACCCAGGAATTCCACTTCTAGGAATTTACCCTAAGAATGCAGTAGAGCAGTTTGAAAAAGACAGATGCACCCCTATGTTCACTGCAGCACTACTTACAATAGCCAAGTAATGGAAGCAACCTAAATGTGTATCAGTAGATGAATGGATAAGGAAGACGTGGTACACAATGGAATATTATTCAGCCATAAGAAGAAAACAACTCCTACCATTTGGAATAACATGGATGGAACTAGAGCATATTATTCCCAGTGAAATAAGCCAGGTGGAGAAAGACAAGTATCAAATGATTTCACTCATATGTGGAGTATAAGAACAAAGAAAAACTGAAGGAACAAAACAGCAGCAGAATCACAGAACCCAAGAATGGACTAACAGTTACCAAAGGGAAAGGGATTAGGAAGGATGTGTGGGAAGGGAGGGATAAGTGTGGGGATAAAGAAAGGGGGCCTTACGATTAGCATGTATAATGTAGGGCGGGCATGGGGACGGCTGTGCAACACAGTGAAGACAAGTAGTGATTCTATAGCATCTTACTATGCTGGTGGACTGACTGTAATGGGGTATGGGGAGGGGTGTCTTGGTGAAGGGGGGCGCCTAGTAAACATAATGTTCTTCATGTAATTGTAGATTAATGATAAGAAAAAATGTGTAAGACAAGTTGATAGACTGTGTACATATCAGAGGCGGCACTGTGTAGTCAATCCCAATATTTTCCATTACTCCTGGTCGAGCCAACTCTAAATTACATAAAGTCATAGAAAATACAAGGAATATTTTAATTTTTGGCTTTGGAAGGTGCTCTTTTAGTTACACTTAATGTAGCTGTAACTAATACTTGTGAATTCAGGGCTATAAAAAATAAAACTAGGAGACTAAGTTTGGTCTTTGGCTATCTACCTAGTTTCCCAAACAGTCTCTAAACTCTAAACACAATCCTGCTATACACTCTTAGGTATATTCTCAATACTAGCCTAGAAGAAATTACTCTTTCTCCTAATTCCCATTTTACATGCCCTGTACTGCTATCCACGTAGGGAAGCCTAATTAACCACGGTCCCTCATTTTTTCTACTTTTATATTTTCTACTATCACTTACTTTGACTTGCTCATCAATCTCTATTACCTATTCTATATTCTGTAGAGCTTAATGAGGAATTAAGATTCTTCAAGGTATGAATTTTATTATTAATGAAATTTATGGGTAACCACTTATTTTATGTTTAAGCGTGCATACTGGTTATTGGGTGCTGTAAAGACATAGGTTTCATAAAAGTTGTCAGTGAGTGGCATCACTTTAATTACAGTATGCACCAGGATCTTCAGAATTCACTTGTTAAACCTGGAATAAGCACAGTCAGTTATGTGAGAAAAGACAGCCTTGAGTGGCCTGTTTCCAAGTTAAAAGAGGGCAAGTTGACTCCAGAGTATAGAGTGCCATGAGTTAGGAAATGAATATATAACAAAATTATTTTCTTTAAGACAAAATCATCAGATTTAAACTCTAAATTTTAAGCAAGTGAGCAAAAAAAGAAATTTGGATGGAAACTTTAAAGCCCTTCCATCACAAGGAATGGTAAAAGTTTCATCCATGAGCCTGGCCTGGCTTAAAGTGGTGGTTGTGAAGCATCACCTGGGAGTCCCTGGAGTCCCAAGATCCATCTGCTCATGGGATCCAAGAGGTCCAAGTATTTTTGCTATAAAGCTCAATGTTACTTGCCATTTCCATTCTCATTCTCTTTACAAGCATACAGTGTAATGTTCCAGAGATATGGTATGTGATAACATCAGAGCTCTAATAGCTAATGTGATGTATGATCATGTACATTTGTATTTAAAATGTTTCAGTTTTAACTTCTAATGTTGTGACTATCAATAGATACAACCCATTTAACTAAAAGTTCGTAGGAATTCTCAGTAATTTTTAATAATACAGAGGAATCCTAAGACCAAAACATTTCAGAATTACTATTTTAAAAGTCTACCAATATTTATTAGCATATAATTACTTTTTCCATTTTTAATAATCAACGACCTCTCAATCTCTCTCTCTCTCTCTCTCTCTCTCTCTCTCTCTGTCACAAATGGCCAACATTGGAAGTTGAATAAATTGAGCACCCGGACTGTGTTCATTTCAGTACCATTGGGTGAACACCTCAAGATGGGCTGATATGAGTCCAAAGAAACAAAAACTTCCTTTGGCTGTGTCACCTTCTGTGTTTTCCTTCACTGTGTCCTCTATATGAAGGGTCATCAAGCTGTGGCCCACAGGCCAAATCCAGTCTGCCATCTGGCTTCAAAACAGTCATCTGGGAGCAGTCATGCTTATTATTCACTTATGTCTTGTCTACGACTGCTTTCAAACTATTATGGCCCCACTTAGCAGATGTGACAGCACCTGGCCTCTCTCATTCAGGTTTGACTTAATGAGGTATGAAGCTGGTAACAGGCCATGTTAGTGTAACAGTATGTAAAATAAGCTGTGTTTCTCAACGAGGCATGGCTTTTCTGACTCCTGTACTTCCAGCAGGAGTCTTTAAGAGCCTGTCTCAGCAGTACTGCTGCACACCAGTGAAGTTCTGAGTGTCTGCCATTTATGTATGGTTCTTCCAGGAAGGTATTGCTGTGTTCCCAGTTTTAAAGACAGTTATTATTATTAGTGAGATAAATCAGTATGTAATAAGAAACATTCATGTACTAAATGTAATTCACTGTTATAAAATATTCTATTTTTATTTATCATATTTTACCTTATTTTCTACTTTATTATGACAAGTTCAATTTGTTATAATGTGATTATAGAGGAAAGATACAACATTTAACTTAAAAATCTTTTATGTACACAAAGATATATGGGATTTTAGGGGTCAAGACTAAATGAATTCCTTTTCAGACTATTGAAATAAACACCATCTCAAATTTTAAGTTACTTACATTAGCTTTAAAAATAATTCTGAATATTGAACTATTAAGAAAGAAATTAAGAAAGAAAAAATATACATGTAACTTATACACCGTTTTTCTTCATTGGTCTTTCATTATCAAAACTCCCTTATTCTTACTTTATCTATGGTAGACCACCAAGGGCAATTCAGTATCTCAACTCTTACCTGGAGAAGAGTTTCGATTATTTTGAGAAGAATTTTTAATTCCCTTGTCCACTTTGTACACATCAATTAGTTGGCAAATGCTATGTGTAAAGAAAGGTTACAAATAATATTACTACTTTAGTACTGATTTGAAAAACATTTATCAAATAACATTCCTAAGAATATTTTGGATAATAACAGCTAATACAAAGCCTTAATTAGCCCATATACTCCAAATTTCTAAGTGTTACAAACTTTTTATCAAGCAAATAATTAAATATGACAAGCGGTAAGATAGTAAGGTGGACCAGTCATGAACTGAGGGCACTATAGCTCAGTAAATGAGTCAGACTTAGCGTGCCATAATGGATGGATGTGTCTTGAACTCAGAAGGCCTAGCTCTATAACCAACAGCTTTTTGTTATTGGACAAGCTGCTTCTCTTCAATTCAAAGTCTTGCTCTAGAAATTAGGGATCTTGCTCTAGAAAGTAGGGATCTTGCCGCCTCATTTTACAAAGTTGTTGCAAGGGTTTCATAAGCTACTATACCCCCAAAATGCTCACAGGAACACTCAAGGAATGGAATGATTTGCTCTTCAACTTGAAACTATTTTGGAATACCAAATAAAACCCAGTGGGTTTTCACATGTTCTAACAAGTTAGCTGCCGTGTTCAGAAGACGTAATTATTTTCGGTTAACTGTTCTTTCTTTGTGGTAATTTAGGTGATAAGTAACTTATAAATATACTACCTCATTAAGTTGGATGACAGCATTGTCCCCTATCATTGTAGCTAATCACACCGACGGCACAAACCAATAGAAGTCAAAACCTGGCGCCGACTGCTACTTTTTCCTCTCCATCTACTCAAACTTTGAACTAGCAGGTCTTTATCTGAATGATGTTTCATCTCCATGTCATCTCCAGTTGACTTGAAAGACTTACCCCTACTCTTGTACATGTGGACATGGATGGGGCTTAGCTCTCCTAATGCCAAGTAACCTACTTGAGATTCAGAGATTCCTGTTGAGTGGCTGGCTTTCTTGTGAGGCAGAATCTGAAAGTATTTTGAAACCTGAACTCCACTCAAGGCACTTTGGAAATTTTCATCATTATGGAAAACAGACCACTTAAGGGGTGAACCTTAATTATGGAATCTCAGGCAAACTGGTCCCACTATTTAGGTCAGGGCAATATGGGGTGTTCCATGACCTAAGAAACCTGCTACCCTGTGGGTACAGAACATCCTACGAGAAGGCAAGTCTAATCTCTTCCTGCAGCCTTATCTGAACCTCTCTGCTAATATCTGCAGCTAATGGTCCCACCTAATATCGGCAAACAGGACAGACAATATCCTCAAAGGGTGAGTCATTGTGAGGGTCTCAGGCTAGGGTGCAGGCTCTCCATAAGGCTTTTGAGGGTGTGCAGAAAAGTGTGTTGCTGAAGCTAGCAGGCCCAGCTGCCAGAACAGGGAGCTCATGCTCTGGAATAGTGGCTGAACATACAAGCATATGTATGTGAACTGAGAAAAGGTGTGGCTTTTCCAGTCTAGTGTGGATCACCATGAAGACAGGAATCTAGAAAGGCAAGGACATCCTGGGAGCAAAGGTCAATCAGCACTGCCTGTAGGGCCATTTCAGTAGCAATGCTGCAGCAGTACAAGCAGTGGAAACAAACAGAACATAGAGTGTCCTTTCCCGCCCCCTCCAAGGGACTTATGAAAGAGCACTGTCTCTTTGGTCTTAGGGAAACCCTTGGGTTCTTGGAAAATTCAGGGGGGAGAGTATAGGGGTAGTACCCAGGGAAAAAAACAGGATTTTCTGCTATTGTGAACATGTCCAGGTAACATTGGAAAATTCGGAGATGTGACATTATTTGTGCCTCATGCATAGCTGATATACATAGAATTAAATGGATAATGTTATATCTTAAAAAAAGTCCTGTGATAAAGAACTGGGCACCATTGCTACCAGTCTAGCTTTTTGCAGGGTTTCTGGCTGATGATGTGCCCTATGTGTAGTGCCAGTCCAAAACTGACTGAACCAAACTACGAAATCACCTGTTACATATTGAGTAACAGTTATTTTAAACATTAGTTCAGTGGTAGCTAGCATTTTAATGTAAATACTTACGTATTCAAACCTCTCTTATAAGCATAATTTTCTGCAGTCCATCCAAGGGTATCTTCCGAAAAGACATCAATATCTTGCTGAAGAAGCAGCCTGGCTATAACTGTTGATCCATTATCTATAGCAAGCATGAGTGTTGTTCTAAAATGACAGAGAAATAACTTCACCCTTAGGAACTTTGTTACTTAAATAGCTAACTTGATACACTTTACCAAGTTAAAATCTTGCCTGTCTGTGTAGAACTGACCATTCTCATGGTCAAGGGTTCATCTTTGTAAATTACCTCCAAGACTAAAAGGAATGGACAAAAAGGAAGCCTTTTGTCCCACTTGGCTGTTATGTAGTAGAAGTTGCTACTTTCAAGTCCTCTGGTGGACAAGAAACTATAGTGAGGTCACTTTTCTGAAATCGGTGAAGATTTAAATGAAGAATCCCCCATTTCTTCCTTAGTCCAGTATATTATACTTGAAAAAGACTGAAGTCTGATACATTAAAGCTATTTGCAGGCTTATAACAATATTAGTAATAATGGTAGTACTCATAGTTGCAGTTAAGATGCTAAGTATGTGCTAGGCACTAAACTAAATGATGTATCTATAATCTTATACACAACCATTCTTGAAGGATATATTATAATCCTATTTTATATCAAACATATTGGTGCTGATAAGTAATGTTCCCAAGGTCACACGCCTAACAAGCAGGAAAGTGAGGTATCACACCCAGTCTTGTGAGAACCTAAAGCCCACCTCCTTTCTCTTTATCACCCACCTATGACTTGTCTTCAGTAAATGGAAAGTTTGTTCAACTAAAGCTATCTTTCTTCCTTCTACCATACCAATGAAAAATAAAAACATCAAAATATATTAGAAGTGAAAAAGGATAAAAACTCATGAGCCCATAGTATCTGGTAATAGTCATTAACAGTCACTTAGGAATAACCTAGTAACGTCATTATTCTTTAAAGAAAGCAACTTAAAGCAAAGACACTTCCAAAAGACAAAAATCAATTCCTTTTTAAGCTCAAGAAGCATCTTTTAGGAAAAAATGTATGTAAAGTAGAGGTAAAAAAAATACTATAAAAGCATTAAGAAGTCCAAAATTGTGTCCTTAAAGAGCCTGTATTTTATAAAAACAAATATGAAACCCACCCTTTAGCTAATCTAAAAATCATGAGCAAAAAAGTCAGATTGCAAATGTCATCAGCTAATATTGTAAAAGAACCCTGCTGTACAGACTGTTGCCTAGTCAGAATCATTGCTTTTCTACTAATGATGTGTTGATATTTTCCACTACGTAATTATCAATTAATCCTACACTTAATCTTCTGATGTGTTTATCACGACGCTAGAGAAATACAAGGTTTAAGAAAACAATACTGTACCTTTTTTTCTTATCAACAGCATGTACATTTGCTCCTTTAGTTAACAAATACTTTGTCATTTCACACTTTCTTTGCCTTATAGCAAGCAAAAGTGGTGTGAAGCCTTCCTGTAAATCAGCAAAAACAATTTACAATTTAGAAAATCATATATTTCTAAACTGAATAAAAAAGTTATGAAAGATCCTCTGCCCTTAAACATATAATATAGAAGGAAAATAAAAAGTGGCCCCTTCCTTCTCAGCCCTCAGTTTTCACCTGCTGCTCCTTCTCTGGCAATGCCCTTCCTCTACACCTCTTCGACAGACTACCTGCAAAGGCATTCTCCACAACTCACTGCAAATACTGAAGTCTTCCAGGAAGTCTTTGCTTCCCTTCACAGTATTGACCATGGTGTGCTGTACTTGCCTTACTGCTTCCCATCTAAACCAAGAGTTTCTTGAGGACAGGGGCTATTTCTTAATCTCTCTGTATCTCCAAGCTTTAAGATGTAGTAGGAAGTGCTTTAACTATTTTTACTGAGTTAACCGAAGTGAGTCTCTCTAGGGTACTGTTTCTTACAACAATTATTCCAAAGAATATGTACTTTACCAAAAGTTAATGACTATGCCACAGTGAGAATTCCATGTTCTGTATTTGAGAAATATTTTAAAGCTGTGCTTTATATGTCTAGTACTAAGGAAATCTGTTTAACTTTGCTTACTCCCTATCTGCCCAATACTTCTTTGTTGCAAACATTAACATTTGAGGAATTAAGTGTTTCAGGGATAGTTCTGACAGCTTTCCAGTAAAAATGAGGGTTTTTCCCATGTGTACAAAATTGCTTGATTCTTCTATCAATGGTGTCAGGTTCCAAGATGTCAATGTCAGGCACTACTGCTTCGAATGGGTCACTAGAAAATGGACTCTGAATTAAAAACGACACGCTTCGAATGAAAGGATTGCTTATAACCAAATGGTCCATGGGTTTTGTCCTATAAGAAGATAGTTTTGTTTTACCTTTGCTGTTAGTAAGCTCAATATGAAATTTTAATCCCAATTGTAATGATAACCCTGGGCCCACTAATCTTTTTATTTAGGATTCCATTTTAATTGCCACTTAAAATTGTATTCCATGCAAAATATGAATCAAATAAAAATATAATGGCTTATCAATAAAACTTCTAATACTGATCTACATGGATTATTTGTAGCATAATGGAAGTTAACTAAATCACTTGCATTTTTAAGGAACAATGCTGAGGGAAAAGATATAATATTGTCTACACTAAACAGATAACCTAACTGACTGTAACCATGATCAACCTCATTAGGTTTATAGACATTCCAGTGGGGATAGGATTACCAATAATACATGTAAAAAAAAGTCATTTAAAAAACCACTTATAGAAAAGATGGCAGCATAAGAGGTGAGACAGAGAACTCCTAAAATGACACATAATATGAAAATATAATTAATACAACTAATCCTGAAAGAGCAACAGGAAAGAAGGCTGCACCAGACTGCATACACATGGAGAAAAGAGCAGACCTCACAGAATATGGTAACATACCTGACCTGGTGGGACCCAACCCCTTCCCCTACCCCAGCCCAGCAGAAGAGGAAGAAACAGAGCAGGGAGTGAGTGGACGCCTGGGACTCCTGAACACCTAGCCCTGGAGATCTGCTCTGGGAGCACGAACCTACATTGCACGCTGCTCTGATTTAGTGCGGTTGGAAAGCTAAGACAGGCTGAATACCTGCAGAGATGGAAATTCCAGCTGCTTGTGGAAAACAGGGATTCATATCTGGCTGATGTGGGTGGGCAGTCTGAGAGACTTCCTAAAAGTGAGAGGGCTGCTAAAGGGGCAAGGATTGTGCAGAGCTTACTGCTCAGGAGAATGGACAGGTAGCCAAAATTGTCTGGGTGCACTCTTCCCAGCAGGTTGGGAGCTTAAACTATCTTTAGGCACTCCATCCCCCTGGCTACATACACAGCTCCAAGGCCCCCCACCCAACCATGATACACAGCCTGCTGTGTCTTACTCCTGCCTGGCTAGCCTGCAGCTGGCTCAGGATCACAAACCAGCAAAACTTGCCCTGCCATCAGGCCAGCCAGAGGGAAGCCCCGCCTACAGCAGCTACAAACACACAGCATAGAGGCTTACACCTGTGTGTTTGGCCCACTGGTTTGGGCAGTGGAGACAGGCATAGCAGCCCGGAAGCAGGAAACAGCTCTTTCCTCCACCAAGGCACCAACACAGCTCTGCTGCGACCCCCGACATTGCTCCAGGCGCTAAACAGCTCCAGAGAGTAGAGCTTCTGGGCACTACAGGGCACCACAGACAAACTATGAACTGTCAAAGGAACTTGGTTGAAAGCAAAATGATGAATACACTTGAGAAAGATTGAAATGAAATCGACCTCATGAATCTTCCTGAAAGATATTTCAAAATAAAAATCATTGACATACTCATGGAGGTATAGAAAAATATTCAAGATCTCAGGAATGAATTTAGGACAGAGATCAAATAGTTGAAGAACACAATGGAGGGTATTAAAAGCAGATTAGATACAGTGGAGACAATAAATGAAATAGAAATTAGGGATATGGAAGAGAAATACAAAGAAGCTGAGGCACAAAGAAGCTGAGGCACAAAGACTGGAAGAATACTGAGAGAACGGTGTGACCAACACAAATGGAACAATATTTGATTATAGGGGTACCAGAAGAAAAAGATAGAAGGTGTCTTTTAGGAAATAATTGCTGAAAACTTCCCCAATCTGGGGAAGGAGATAGTCTCTCAGGCCATGGAGGTGCACAGATCTCCCAACACAGGGACCCAAGGACAAAAACACCAAAACATATAATAATTAAAATGGCAAAGATCAAGGATAAGGACAGACTAGTAAAAGAAGCCAGAGACAGAAATAAGATAATATACAAAGGAAAACCCATCAGGCTTTCATCAGATTTCTCAGCAGAAACCTTACATGCCAGAAATGAGTGGAATGATATATTTAATGCAATGAAGAAGAAGGGCCTCAAACCAAGAAAACTTTATCCAGCAAGATTATCTTTTAAATTTGAAGGAGGGATCAAAGAATAACCAGATAAGGAAAAGCAGAGAGAATTTAGCTCCCAGAAACCATCTCTACAGTGTATTTTGGAGGGACTGCTACAGATGGAAGTGCTCCTAAGGTTTAATAGCTGTCACCAGAGGTAATAAAAAGGGATAGACAAAAAGTACAGAATCTGATATATAATATATAAGGAATGGAGGAGGAAGAAAAGGAGGGAAAAAGAAAAAAAAGAACCTTTAGATTGTATTTGTAATAGCATACTAAGTGAGTTAAGTTAGAGTCTTAGATAGTAAGAAAGTTACCCTTGAACATTTGGTAAACACAGATCTAAACCCTGCAATGGCAATAAGTACATACCTATTGATAATCACCCTTAAAGTAAATGGTCTGAAAGCACGAATCAAAAGACATAGTCACTGAACGGACAAAAAACAAGACCCATCTATATGCTGCCTACAAGAGACTCACTTCAAAATCAAAGACATGCACAGACTAAATGTGAAGGGATGGAAAAAGGTAGTTCATGCAACTAATAGGGAGAAAAAATCAGGTGTTGTAGTACTAGTATCAGACAAAATAGACTTTAAAGAAAGTCACAAGAGAAAAAGAAGGACATTACATAATGATAAAGGGATCAATCCAACAAGAATATATAACCATTATAAATATCTATGCTCTGAACACAGAAGCACCTACATATGTGAAAGAAATACTAACTGAATTAAAAGGGAAAATAGAATGCAATGCATTCATTCTAGGAGACTTCAACACTCCACTCACTCTGAAGGACAGATTAATCAGACAGAAAGTAAGTAAGGACACAGAGGCATGAACAAAACATTAGAATAGATGGACCTAATGGACATCTACACTACTCTACACCCAAAAGCAGCAGGACACACATTGTTTTCAAGTGCACATGGAACATTTTCCAGAATAGACCACATACTAGGCCACAAAAAGAGACTCAGTAAATTAGAAAAGATAGAAATTGTGCCAACCAACTTTTCATATCATAAGGGTATAAAACTAGAAACAAACTGTACAAAGAAAACTAAAAGGCTCACAAATACATGGAGGCTTAACAACATGCTCCTAATCAATCAATGGATCAATGACTAAAGTAAAGCAGAGATCAAGCAATATATGGAGACAAATGAAAACACCACCACAACGCAACTACTTCTGTGGGATGCAGTGAAAGCAGTTCTAAAAGGGAAGTATATAGCAATTCAGGCCTATTTAAAGAAGGTAGAACAATCCAAGATGAATTGTCTAAATTCACAATTATTGAAACTGTTCAAAGAACAAATGAGTCCCAAAATCAGTAACAGGAGGGACATAATAAAGATCAGAGAAGAAATAAATAAAACTGAGGAGAATAAAACAATAGAAAAAATTAATGAAACCACTAGCTGGTTCATTGAAAAGTAAACAAAGCTGATAAACCCCTAGCAAGACTTATTAAGAAAAAAAGAGAATCTACACAAATAAACAGAATCAGAAATGAGGAAGGAAAAATCACTACAGACCCCACAGAAATACAAAGAATTATCAGAGAATGCTATGAAAATCTGTATGCTAACAAACTGGATAACCTAGAAGAAATGGACAACTTTCTAAAAAAATACAACCTGCCAAGACTGACCCAGGAAGAAAGAAAATCTAATCAGGTCAATTACCAGCAATGAAATTGAATTGGTGATCAAAATACTACCCCAGAACAAAAGCCCCATACCAGAGGGATTCATTGCTGAATTTTATCAGACATTTAGAGAAGACATAATACCCATTTTCTCCTTAAAGTTTTCCAAAAAATAGAAGAGGAGGGAATACTTCCTAACTCATTCTATGAAGCCAGCATCACTCTAATACCAAAACAAGGCAAAGACACCACAAAAAAAAAAAAAAGAAGAAAACTACAGACCAATATCCCTGATGAACACAGATGCAAAAATACATAGCAAGANAAAAAAAGAGAAAACTACAGACCAATATCCCTGATGAACACAGATGCAAAAATACATAGCAAGATATTAGGAAAGT